GATATTAAATTTAAACACTAAAATTACACAATAATTCTATATGCTTTTTATAATCAACCCGAATAATAATTTAAAATAATTTCCAACCTTGTGTTTCACTCTTCTAATCTTTATATACACAATCTTTTAGAAAAAAAACTTTGATTATAAAACTTATTTTTATTCTTTGATTCATAAAAGAAGCAAAATAGTCGATAATAATTTTTATTTCATATATGATCTAAGAAGTTTTATTATTTGTTTATTCAAAATAAAAATCCTATTTTATACTATTAAGCGTAAGTAATTCTAAGTTTATTACTATAATACTAGCTTAACAGTTTGACACTCATAATATCCTATATTTTTTCCTCAATTTTATTCGATCATTCTTTCCAAAATTCTCTATTTATCTTCTTTGGATAAAAGTCTGCTTCTTCATCCAAACTTCTTCTTTGTTGCAAAGATCCTAATTCTGACTTCTTCAGTGTTTTTCCTCCTCAAAGTTCTTACGAAATCTTAAATGATTTCTACACTCCAAATGAGTCAATAGACTATATCTAATATCTAAAGAAAGACCATAAATTTCATATTCGAGCTATTATAATCTAGTCATGTGTCATAAAATTCATTGAACTCTTTTTTGCTCTTGTCTTAATGAATTAGACAGCTGCAAAAGAAATCACGGTATACATAGATGGGTTTTGATAACAGTTATTGATGTTAAATGGTTTGATTAAATAAACTAAACTAACAATAGAGTCAAATCATCTAATTCTTATTTTACTATTCTGAATTCTTAATTTATTTTTATGTTTTCCTAAAGCTACTAAAAAAATAATACAATTCCTTGGATTTAATTATCATCAAAAGTGTATAAAGTGATTTTACTTTATAATTCTAGTAAAATGTTAATTGACTCTTAAATGTGCTAATTAATTATGCTATTTTAAATTTTACATTTTGCTTTCAATCTTTTTTTAAAATAAGAATCTTTAGATTTCAAATACTCAATTTTTGAATCTTAACCCAAATTTTCTTTATTCCACATAACTGATATTTGACACTAACTCTTCTTGTAACTAGAGGTTTATTAAATTTACAAATCTCAACTGTTTTATTTATTGGTTGAGAGAATTCTGTAGTTAATTAATTTTTCACTAATTTCATTAAGTTATTAATTAAAATTCTTTCTAATTACTTCAATTTAATAATTCAATTTCTCTTATTTTTCTTATCTTTTTATCTTCAAATCATTTAACGTTAAATCTTGTATGTTTTTTGTCTAATTCTATTCCTAATTTACTTTTTCTATTGATCTATATTACCAATTGGGATGATCTTCAATACAATCAACACACAAATAATTTTTATTTTGAAGAGACATAAATTCTATATTGATATTTTCATTTATTTCATTGATCTTCTATTTAGCATCCTTAAAAATGTCAACAGTTTAAAAGTAAGTAGCGTCATTAAATGAGAGTTGAAATTATTTAAATATTTCATCTATAAATTATCGATCTTATTTAAATTCCATTTATCTTTCTTATATGTCGTTAGAAAAAAATTAAGATAATGATATATCATCTTCTTAGAAATTGTTTAATATTCACAATTTTGTTATAGTAATTATTTTTCTTTTTAAATTGAAAACATCTGGGCTTTTATTTTGCAATTTAAAATACATCTGATACAGTAGAATATTTTATATGAAGTAAATCATTCCTTTTTCCCATCCTATATTTCATGATTAAATTGTTATTGGGATAGATATCTAAAAGTTTTTTTATAAAATTATCATATTTTCCTTTTATCTTAATAATTTTGATAATTATTAGTAAGGTACTAAAGAAACATTAAAATATAATCTTGATGAGAGAATATATAATGCGATCTATCCAATTATGAAATACTTTTAAGAATTTAAAATACGGAAAAAGTTTAACTCTTGAATATTTCTAAGTAGAGGTTTTGAATAAATATATCAAAGAAGATGAAAAAGAATGTAATGTCATAGCAAAGATAAGAGAATGTATGTAACTGGCTTTCATTTTTCAAAAAAAGAAGGGAATAGTCTTAGATAATCTTATCGAAAAACCAAAACCAAATAGAAATAATTTAGTCCTTCTGAAAGTAAAAGATAGATAAAGGGATGAATAGCTGGTGACAAAAGAAAGGTAAGGGGATAGTTGACAAAAATAATGCTTGGATTGTTAATAAACCATAAAAAAAAAATTATTTATACCACTTGGATTATTATCTTATCTAAAACACTGAAGAAATTAAAGAAGCAGGATTTAAGCCATGTAGAACAAATATTAAAACAAAGGAATTAAAAGAGGATACAGAATTTATAGCTACAGATCAACTTCTAAACTAAGTTAATTCAGCAGTCGTAATTTTCGCAAAGAAGCTAATACTAAAATGGGAAAGAGAACAAAACTTTAAACTTTAGATTATAAACAATTCAGGAAAGATCTATGTTTTATACACAAGGAAACAAATAAAAATCATTATAAGCTAAAAATATTATTTTATTCATCTAACCAGTGAAACTTGACTTTTCAGATTCTATCTAAAAATTTTAAGTTTAAAGTCTTTTGGTGCAACAAATTTTTTACTATACCTTTCAGTTATTATGCTATTCTACATTCTAAACATTGCCTTTGTCGATTAATCATTTATGGGAGATCAAAAAGAATCTAGTTGATTAAGTAATTTATTAATTCATTTTCAAGAGCAACATTATTGGAGTAATTTCATGATTAAGTAAATCTAAGATTTAATTTAAATAAGTAATCTGATTCTATATTGATACTTGTAATCTAAAATTAACTATTAGCTAAATTATTGGAAAAATCTCAATTAAAAAATAAATTTCATTCATTAAAGATAGTAATCTTTTGATAAAATGCTTCTCTTTCTAAGCTTGATGTCTAAATAACATTGAACCTTTTGAATAAACACTAGTTCTTAATTCTCTAACTATTTATATAAATAGCATATAGTTTTTAATAATAGTCAAAATCATAGATCCTAAATATCTATCTTGATAAGTATTATCCATAAAAAATAAACTAATCATAATGTACTTTAATATATCTTAATAAATCTTAAATTACTAAGTCCTCAAACTAAGAAACTAACATCACAATAGGATTAGAGGTTAGAACTAATTAGTTTAGTAAATGGTCATTTTATGAAATCAATGATGACAGTAACTGATGAGCTAATGTTACTACTGTAATTAATACTTTTTATTTAATCTCTTTAACATGAAAATATTTTTTATATGTATTCTAATTAAAATTTAAATTGTTATCAGATAAAAAATAAATAATTTATTACTTAAATTTAATCAAATCTTTTCAGAGTAGGAAGGGCTTTTTCCTAATTTAAGATTAATGTTGATAAATTTAACAAGAACACAATATTATTAAAGATGATTTCTTTTTCAATTAATTAAAAAAATTTCAATATTTAAATAAAAAATCTATATATTCTAAGATCAGGTATTAATTAAAGATATAATTATTTATTATTATGCTAAAGTCAATTAACATTTTTCATTTGAACACATAATTTACTATCTCTACTTTACCTCTATTATATAAATGTACACATGGATATAAATCTTTAGATGTATCAATAGTGAGTGACTAATAATAAATAGATATTGATACGAAAGATTCATTTGTGGATTACTTTGTCCATTTCACATACTTCTTTTAAATATCCACTTCAACAATTATGATATCATTCTTTGAAAATGCAAATGCTATTTATTTACTATTTTTATCTTCTTAATCATGATTAAAACATGCACCAGAAGACCATATATTATAAGTTCTATTTCGAAATACTATTATAATAAATATACCCTCCTCCAATTTAATAACAACCATAATAGCCCTTATTCTCCACAATATCTCTAAAACCAATTCCAATCATAACAGAATCACTTTCAATAATTTTAACAGCAAAATGGGTCACATTATGTTTAGGAATCATTTAATCACACATGCAACATTAATGAGTACCCCCTCCCATTCCAGTCTCAATAACTTTTCCATTTTAAGTTACTGCGCAACTACTATACTTATAAGTATTTGAGAATGTCATTTATTAAGAGAATTACAACTCCTACTTTAAATAAATGTTTTACTTTAAAATAAGGTTATACTTATTTCAAAATTTATTCATTTTTCTGATTTAATTATTAACATAATTGTAATTCAGTTTGTTTCTCTTAAAGTATAAGTTCACATTTAGATCCTATGATAAATGCAATATAATGATATTTTTACTTTATTACTCAAATTCTTATAGTTTATATGAGAAACCTTCATTTTGATTCCTCAAATTAGAAATTAGCTCCACTTATTCTGTATTAATATTCTTAAATTCGTTTATAATTTATTGATTCTATTGGTTTAACTTTTCTTTTTCTATAATTTGATTTTAAAGCTATTCATTTTCTTATTTATTTAATTTGAGCTCTATTGCAATTTAATCAAATTAGGTGAATTTTTATATAAATTTGAAATCTTTTTCAAATTTTGATGTATATTCTTTAAACTTATTAAAATGAATATATTTTTACCTATTATAATTATAAATCTTTAAATTAATTAGATAAACTATTTATTGTTTGCATAATTAAATCATATTAATTTAAGGCTTCACTTAAGAAATTTTCATATATTTTGAAATGCTATAATTATAAATTAAGTTATTTAATTTATTGTAGATTCTAAATTGGATTATTATCATCTAATTAAATATCATCTGTTAGATTATTTATATTTTGCATATTTAAATTTGAATCCTTAAATATCTTTTTAATATTTTCATATGCTATTAATTCATTTTACAGCAATTTCTAAAAATTAGATGAAATAATTTAAAGTTGATTAAGATCTTCCTTCTAAATATTAAATTATTTTTCAGCCAAAGCTTTGAAATAATCATTTTAACTCAATATTTCAGTTAATTCATTAATTTATTCAATCTTCATTTCAAAAATCATATTATCATTAAATTAATTTATTTCATTTTAATTAAACATTTATTATTAAGAATTTATATTATTAGTAATTTCTGATATTGTGCAATTATACTTTTCCTTAATATCTTAAAGAATCTCAATAATTTAAGATGATTTTTAAGTTCTTTAACTCTAAAATCTCTTAACCTTTTCATTTGTTTATTCTAAATATTCATTCCATTTAAAATTAGCATCATCTAAGGTTGTATATTGAATTGGATCATTTGATTATATGCATTCAACACAAGCTAATCTTGAATACTATGATTTTTCAGGATTCAAATTCAACATGATAATTTCTTTTCCATGTTTATTACATTCAATCTTCAAACATGGTGTTTTCTATTTAAAATATTTATTAATAGCAATTACTTGCGAATCTTCTTCCTTTTTGTTAAGTACTTATATTGAATTTATTTCTGAATTCTCATTATTAACTTTATTCTTTTATAAGGATTCTTTTATTTAGATTAATTTAGGACAATTACTTATATTCTATAGTTATTACTATATAAAATCTATATAACAATTGTCATCAATAGATTTTTCTAGTTCTTAAGAAACTTCAAAATTAAAAGACCCTTTATAATTTTTGGATAAAATTCTGACATCTTATTCAAATGTAGAAACAAGTGTTTTTGATTCTGATTCATCTAATTCATTTTCCATCTCAATTACTTTTTAATCTAAATTTGATTAAACTTTGTCTATTGTGTTATTAATTGATAATTTCAATTCTTTAACTTATGATTGAATTTATCTATAGTTTTCAATCTTTCTTTAATATTCTTTTATTTTATAATTCAATTATTCGCTTTTCATTTACTTAATCATAGTTTTGGTTTCTTCTACGAGAGCCATATTTTTAATATCAATCTTCTCCATTAAACACTTAATACATAGATACTTATCCTCTTCAGCAGTTGATTACTTCAGATCTATTGTTTAAATTTCTAACTTATGCTTTTAACACAGTTTCTTATCTGAATCACAAGACATTTATTTAATTATTTATAATAAGATATTTAATAATTCCAATTATTGTTAAATTATTTTACACAATATCTTTTTTAATCTATGATAATAGATAATTGTTATTCATCCTTTTTTCTCATTTTAATATTAATCTGAATGTTATTTTCAAGTCAAAATTAAATTTAAATTTCCAATGAGGATTTTTAATTATATTAGCAATTTAATTTAAAAAGTTTTAGATTCATTAGATTAAAAGGAACTATCAAAAAAAACATTTATTTCTTCTCCTAAAAATAAAAGGAATGTGATTTGTCATGTTAAGATTTCAGCTTAAAATAAAAAAAAAAATTCATTTAAATTTTGTGAATGTATTTAAATTTTTAATACCTTCAGCTATTTATTGTGAAGAAAATATAATTTTATCAAGGATTTATAAAAAAGAGTATTAAAATAATGTATTGAGCTTTAGGTTAGCACTGGATCAGTAAATATGATACAATATTGTAATTAGGAATAAGATTTAAGTTTAATTGTTATTAGTGTAATTTTATTGGTATTATTGTTAGTAATTTATTTATTGATTTTATTATCCCGATTCTAAAATTTTAGAAATTAATACTCCTAATAATATCATGATGAAATTGTATATATATACAAATATCCCAAGTTTTTCCATTTCTTTAAAAATCTAAGAATATGGATTTAAAAGCCATCTTAGAATAGTTGAATTATAAGAAGATATATTTGCTTTAAAAATTAAATTAAAGAATACTCTTGATTAATTTGATTTTGAAACTCTAAATAACCTTGGATAATAGATATAATCAACAATGATGATAGGAAAGTTATAAGAGACTTAATATAAAAATTTGATAATTAAGATTTCAAAATCATAATCAATGATAAGCATTCAATTAGTAAATCAATAGGAGATGAATGATCATGAACTTTATGATTATGACATAAAAGTTAATAAAAATGATTTATAAAATATATAAATTTTGTAGAAAATCCAAAAACTTCTATGAGGTTTAAACAGATACAGGAAAAATGTGACTTTAAAGAAAATAGACAACAAATTACTTTTGAGTCCAAACTAACTGGTTAAATTATAAAAGTTTGTATTCTTTACATGCAAATTCAGATCTTGATACTATCAAACAAGTGTTGACAGATTTGAAAACTAACATGTAATTAAATATAGAAGCTTTAGATGCACAGCTCGGGAATTGCATAAGAAAAATGAGCAATCCTTAGGTTTTTCAGAATCGGAGTAAAGAAGTGAATGTGTAAAGAAAGACAAAGATGTTTAAAGCAAAAAAAAAAGGGACACACTTATATATCTATATATTAAATAAATTAAATAATTATAAAGTTTATCAAAATAACTAATGATTTAGTAGCTTGGATGTAAAAAAGATAAAGATTGAATTCTTAAAGATTAGGTGTATTAAAAGTTAATAAATTGCATCAGCATTAGTCAAATTTTTGAGAGAATAATTAGATAAACATCATTCTAATGCAACACCTGCTTAAAAATAAGAATTTTTATAAAAGTACATAACTTTGTGTAAATATATTGAACAGGGAATAAATTTAAATGAATCAAGATGGTTTTTATTTGGTGATGGCTATAATAAGGCTGATAGTGCAGTTGTTCTTATTTCAAGTCAAAGTAATGATTCTATTAAGACAGTTATTGTTGTTTAAATGATGATGGTAAATTCACTAATGGAGATTCACGAAATTAAGGAGGATCATGAAAACCTAAACCAAAGCCATAACCTAAACCTAAACCTAAACCTAAACCAAAACCAAAACCAAAACCAAAACCATAACCTAAACCTAAACCTAAACCATAATCATAAACATAAGAAGAAAACGATACAGAAGAAGAAGCAGAAGATGAAGAAGTAGATTAAAAATATACAGATAAACCTACAGTAGAGGAAGAATCTGAAGGAGAAATAAAACAGATGAACAACCTACTAATATTAATTTAATTAATGTTAGAGCAAACTCACAAATTAATTACTAGCAGAGTTGGAATTGCTTGATAATGTAATGCAAGACTTTAATAAATCATTATAGCTTATTAAGTTAGCTAAGATGTAATTGATAATTATTGATATTTTTTAGGATTACAATGATTCTTATTAACATAATTTGGAACTTAGAAAATAAAAGGAGGAAGAATTTGCAACCTTTGATGACATATATAGAATTTATACCATTTAGGTTGTTTGAATTTTAGCCCCATACATCATAAAATTATTCAATTTTATAATTATAAATATTAATCAAATAATTTAAATTATCTTAATATAATAATAATGTATTAGGATAATTTATAATTTCTCCCTTTTCATTCATAATATAATTTCTATAAAATTTTATATAAATAATTTCAGTATATATTTGGTGTTAAATAAATATAGGAATAAATCGTTTTTATAGACATAAAATATTTATTTTATAATCTCAATAGATATTTTAATCACCATTAAATAATAGTCCATCAAAGAATCAATTTATATTTTCAAAATCTGAGAGATTTGTTAAATTTGCCGATCCGATATTGTAATCAATTTTGACATTAATATTAGTTGCTATTAAGCATTTTACAATCTTGATCCAATGATTTAAAAAAGATCAGCTGGCTTAGTAAAGGCAAAAAGTATAAATTAATGATAATAATAATAATAATAATAATAATAAGCTGATTTTCCTAAAGTAGTAGTTCCAAGTCCATCTCCTCAAAAATATAATTTAGGCAATGATGTCTAAAATAATTTGAAAAAGAATAAAGGATATAGAGTGAATAAAGATAAAATGGCCAATAAAGGTATTTTAGAAACTTTAAATCTCAAAACCCAGGTTAAAACTAATCCATTTGACCAAATAGCTTCTGGAATTATGATTTAGGATCTAAAAGAAGCGATACTAGATAAACTATGAGACCAAGACCATAAAAAAAGCTATTTAATTTCATATGCAAAAGTACCAGGACCAGGATAACATGAAATCTTTAATATGTATCAATGAAGAAAGTAGATATCCAATTTCAAAATACAGTAATTCATGCGCCACTTTATTCAATCCAAAATCCTCAAAGAGACTTACTATTGATTATTGTAAGAATGAGTAATTAATTGATTATAAGTCATTTTTATATCCGGGATTTCTGTGTGAATAGACAGTAGGGTTT